ATGTGTTTTTACAAGTTTCATAGATTACAAATAAAAGTAGAAAATTTGGAAACTTTAAACTTTGATATCCAAACTTTTCGGAGGATTATAACTCATTGAACATGAAACCAAAAATGATGCAATTAAAGTCTAAAATTGAAGTATAAACTCTAAATTACATGAACGGGTTGAGTGTGATTTTGTGTACCAAGAACCAGTCTGATAGTATAGAATCGGTCCCGTTCAACTACAGGTACGGGTCTCGGTCCGGTTACATGAAAGTAATGGTCTTCATTTGGTTGGATTGGTTAGATCCAATCCAATCAAATGAATCCAAAATGATTTTCGGTTTTCAAAACAAGAACCGAATAGTCCAACTAAACCTAAATCCAATCTGATCCAACCAAATTACTATTCAATTCAATCATTTTTATAATTCGGTTTTCTAGAGGTAAATCGTTTTAAAAATTATATAACTTGAATATCATTCAACTCTATAAAAGAAAATAAAAATACTTAGTTATGAATTAAAATTTATAAACAATTATTAAGAATAATATATTGTAGTTTACTATTTCATAGACAATTTCTTTTATAAAAAATACATATTAATTATTATATTAAATGAAACTTGCTAATATATTAAAAAAATATCGAATTTATAAATGATTAAAGCTATATATTAGAAACAAATAATAATTATATATAATTAAAAATGCAAGGACTCAGTAATACTAAAGTTTTTCCCCTTCACACTTTGGCCACAATTGTTTGTGATGTTAACACTTTTGGTCCCTTATTATTTAATATTGCACCATTTCACTATAATACTTTCTACAACTTGGAAATTTTTCTCTATTCTCTAATATTAGTTACAGTAAGCCACACTATTTTCTACAACTTGACAATTTTGGTCCTTTCTCAAATATTAATTTTTGTTTTTCAACATCTAACCACCACATTTTCTATATATTGTCAACTTTGGTCCCTTATGTATATTCTAAAAAGCTAACACATAAAAAACACAAATTATGAAATCTAAAACAACCAGAATTTTTTTTTTGACTCGTAGCAACGCGAGGGCACATCCTCTAGTTGAGTTTAAAGAAAGCTATTCTTTATATATTAACTTCCAAGTACAAAACACCTGCAAATAGCTTACCAGATCAAGTTAGGCTCACCAAAGATCACCACAAAAAAACTTAAAAAAAAAGTTTAAAAAAAAATTTAAAATAAAGGGACCTTTATGTGTTTCTGTTTATTTTTTACCGGTTGATTTTATACATCGATCCCATTTCTCAGGGAAAGAAACATGACATAGCTCCAGCATCAAGTCCGCTTAATTTGGATGGTTTCATTCAATCCAAAGCAAAGGTATACTTTCTTCATCTTTCTTTGGTCTTTTCTAAGGAACTCAAAGAACACTTCCATTGTCTTTTTGGTTTACATACTTTAAATTGTTCGATATATATATATATATATATATATATATATATATATATATATATATATATATATATATTATATATATATATATATATATATATATATATATATATATATATATATATATATATATATATGACAATTCGTGTCATGAAACGTGTCAGCCATGAATTCGACACGATACGATTACACGATGAGAAATAAGTTTTATCTTAATTTTCAAGATGTATTTGTATCGTGTATTCGTGTCGTGTCGTGTCTCTCACAAATTCGTGTATTCGTGTATGGAATTGCCTGGTGTGTGTGTGTGTGTGTGTGTATATATATATATATATATAGCACTCGGTTCCAGGTATGAAATTTATTCCAAAAAAGTTCATGTTTTCTCTTTGGACACGGCGTGGTGAAGCCTCACCACGGTGTGTCGATAAGCCTTTGGGCCGCGAAGTTTATTGGACCAACACGGCGTGTTGGCGGCTGGTGGAGAAACTCTAATTTTTAGGGTATTGCATCCTATATAATCTCCTTAACTCCCCAAGATCTGGTCTCTTTTTCAGCCAGCATTCCCCCAAATAGTCCTTTGCAACCCTAATCATCTTTCCCTCCCATTTTAGAGCTAGTTTGGTGTTTTTGAAGATAAATAAGGAAGAAGGTGGAGGTACGAAGCGAAGATCCAGCAAGCAAGCCCTCATTCTTCAGTTTGGCACTCTTCTGGACCTTTGTAAGTGTCCAAGACTCGATTTTTATCATTCCAAATTGTTAGATCTTGAGTTTTGTCCCTTTAGTTTCTTGTTCTTGAATATTGGAATGGTTAGATCACATAAAGTCTGCAACTTTATGGATCTCCAAGTCAAGGTGACCTAGTAGTGCCATGGATCTGGTCTATAATCAAGTTTTGAAGCCATGCATAGAGATTAGGTCATAAATCCTCATTTTAACCTAATATGGGTTCAAGACATGAATTGGACATGTATAAAAATCACCAACCTTTGAGATGGTTTGGGTGTTTGAATCGCTTTTGGAAAGGTTAGACTTCGGACTTTAAGGATTAAGTGCCTATTGGTTATGCCCTTTCATAATCTAGCTTTATGGGTTGGGTTGTTGGACCTTTTGGTAGTCCTAATAGGTAAAGTTGGAAACTTTACCCTTCTAAACCTAATTTTGGTCTAGATCTGAGCTTTGGAGCTCTTGGAGTCGAAGAAAGCAGCTTAATGTATTAAGCTATTGGAACTCAGGAAAACACGGCATGTTTGCAAGTCAACACGACGTGTTGGGTCAACATGGACTGTTGGCCTTGACTTTGACTTTTTTCTTTGATCAATTTTGACCTAAAAGGGAGTGTTGATGTATTTTGAGTTGTATCTAAGGATTGGTTACTATTTAGGTGGCGGGTAGAGCTGATATTCAGAGTCGGGATCTATTTAGCTATCGTTCAGATTCAGAGGTGAGTTTCCTCACTGGGTTTAGCGGGTTCTAAGGTACCAATGCTAGCCTTTGTTATTTATGTTAGGATGTTATGAGTCTGCATGACCCTTGCATGTGATATGTGTTGTTATGTATATCGGGCAAGGCTCGATGTCGGCCGAGGCCCGAGGACTGTATTGTATGCTATTGTTTATGATCATCACATGTGTTAGCATGATTATGTGATATATGTCTATGTGTATAGTGGGCGGGGCCCGATGTCAGGCGGGGCCCGATGTCAGGCGGGGCCTAAGAATAACTGATTTGTATACCGAGCGGGGCCCGAAGCCGAGTGTGACTCGATACCGGGCAGGGACCGATGGAGAGCGGGGGCCCAGTATATGATTTATTATGTATGGTATGGGGTAGTTTGGGGAACTCACTAAGCTTTGTGCTTACAATTTTCAGTTTATGTTTGAGGTACTTCTGGTTCCAAGGGGAAGAGGTCAGGATGACTACATCGCACACACCACATGTATTCCACTTTTGAGATATTACTCTGATTGATTTGATGTTGATACACTTATTTTCATTTGGTCTGTATGGATAATGTTTTGGAATACTATTTTAATTAAATCAAAAATGAAATTTTTTGGATCATATTTTGGGACATTACAATATATATATATATATATATATATATATATAGGTGGGCCCATCTGTTGCTTATGATGCAACAAGCATGAACAAGTTCAGAATGTGGAACGAGCAATACATAGAAGGTGGAAGTAAGAGAAAATCGTCATTCGACTTTTGATGAATTTTGTCAAATTCTTTGGTATTGCTAAAGATGGAAGATAATGTAGGGTAGCAGCCATAATTTTTTGTACTTGTGATGAAGGAAGGAGATATAATATGGATATAGCACATGATGAACACTATTTATTTACATTAATTCCATAAGCCTAAATCTTGCTTGATACAATCCTGATAATGCTTTTCTTGAGTGGGTGTGAATGTAAAGAATAATATTTACACAAATGCAAGTCTTATTTTATTTAGGAAGACTAACCTCGACCATTGAGGGCCAATTTTGACTCTTATCAAACCATCCCCAAATTGAGGATCCCCTAGAGATCCAACCTTCTCATGACATTCTCTTATCCCATGGATGTAACACCCTGTTTCGGGTTGTTCCATAATTCGGGACCGTGGTATAAAACTAGAAATATGTTACCCTTATAGGTCATTTTCCCTTTAACAAAAAATATGATTATGTAAGGACCAACATGCCAACTTATGATAGGGGATCAATCCATGTCTACATCTAGTCATCTACCAATGACTAGTAGGTAAGATTTGCAACAATTGTAAGGTTTGTATCAAATTGAAAGCTTAATTTACACATCCATAAGACCATAACAATTTTCGGATTTCATTGTAGGAATACAAGTTGTGATAACTTATTATTTTTCTTGATTTGTTGATTATGGTTTTGGCACATAGCTTTTAAAGCTCGAAAAAAATGTTTGGCAGTGAAAGCTTTTAGCTTTTATTTAAATAGAAATATCTAAATCCATAAGTTAATTCAACTAGCTTTTAGGAGCTTATAACTTTTTTATTTTAAACATAAATCTTGAATCCTAAAGCTACCTCAAATAGTTTTTGAAAGTTTATAACTTTTAGTTTTAAACTATTTTTATACATTAATTTAAAATTTAAAAGTTACTTTTGTCAACACTTATGCATAAATAAAAGCTTACAACTTCCTACTAGTTTTGTGAGCATGCTATTAATATTTTTAAGTTGTTAATTTGACTTGCAAAACATCAAGACTAGGTTAAATTACATTTTTAATGTGAGCGTTTTTGGGTGACGGATCAAGTTGACCAAGGATGGAAAGTACATGGACTAGAATCAGAACAAAGAGAAAGTAAATGGCTAAAGTGGGAAATTACCCAAAGTTATATTCTCTTGGCTGAATTCGAAAATAACATAATCACCCTTGAAACCCACATTTTTTCTGTTAAACCCTAAGGGCAGTTTTGTCAACTTACTACATTTTGAAAACTGACAAAAATACACACTTTCTGTTATAGACCACAATTCATGTAATTTCAAACATCATGCATGCCGTTGACACAAAAGTTGTGAAGTAAACAAGACGAGTCCTATGATGATCCAAGATCCTCGAGTCCCGGTGCTGGATGTGTTTTTCCCTTGTCATTGTTCCTCCTTGGTTTGTTATGTCTTCTTCTTGACCGGTGTACGGCACGAGGTATAAACACTCCGGTGCCACCACCGTTTGCCGCCCACAATCTCTCCATCCAACCAGGAACCTCAACCTCCCCGCCTTCCAACCAACTGAAAAAATAGTTTCCCGGCATCAATGACCATCCACCACCACCGACTGATCTCTGGTTAAACCTCCGACCACCCTTTTTCTTCACTTGAACATCATCATCTTCGTCTGTAAGTAGCAGAATCTGTCTGGTGAGTTCGGCATAGAAATCATCATTGGCATCGCCTAAGGTGGAGGTGTTGAAATCCTGATCCATTGGAGGGATTGTCTTTTCTGTTTTGGTGGGTGGTGGAAGGTGGCGTTTAAATAGGTAAGGAGGTGAGTTGGTCAACGCAAAGTGTGTAAGGTGGTTGGCTGGAGATTGCAGATGACAACCACTTGCAGAATTTGGATTTTGGAATAATAAAGAAATTGATAATGGAAGTTACAAACTCACAAGTCATTTATGAAATGATACTGCCAAGATACTAACCCGTGTTTATAGGGTTACGGTTCCTTGAATGGGGTGGATGGAGGGTTGTCGATCGGAAATAAGTATAATATAGAGATTCTAAAAGTCAAAAAAAATTATTGTTTTATATTTATATATGTCTATACTTTTTGTTTTGATGAATATAGATTTAGGATTTAAAATCAAATTAAGATTATTGATAAAGTAGTTGGAGAAAGTAAACAATTGACTTTCCCAAATAAAAGGAGAATGTGCACACCGTGTGAACACGTAGAATCTGCACCCTCAAAAGTTTGTTCCTTTTATGGTTTTCCATGTGTACATGCAGTTCGATCAATAGATTCTACTCGTATTTCGAGATCATGTTTTTACCGACTGTAATTTGGAGTCAAATTTCGAGATTGGATCTTCGATTGGTGTGGAATTCCTCCAAGACAATTTGCAAACATGGGTGAATTTCTTGACTTCGCAGCCTCATCGGACAATTGCCCAAGGAAACGGAAAATTTTCATCTCCGTTCTTTATTGTCTTATTTGGTGTGTTTGGAAAGCAACAAACGATTAGATTTTGATTAGGGTGGTTTCTTCCCATACAAACATCGTTGATGATGCTATGTCGTTGTCTTTTGTGTGGTGTAAAAATAGAAGTAAAAGCTTTCTTGTAATTGGGCAATTTGGCGTGTGTCTCCCATTCTATGATAGTTAAACATTGTGTACATTGTTGCCCTTGGGTCATCCGTTATACCCACCACATACCACATATGTGATAGGTGCCACATCAGCACCACATTCCCCTACCATTAACACACCACTCTACATCATTGTTTTTATTTTTTTTAATTCAAAAATACAATAAAATTACATTTTTTATAATTAAAAAACATTCATTTTTTTAAACTAGTTTTTCATTAATTATAAAAATAAAATTACAACTTCAAACTACATTACTTAGTTAATCTAGAAAAAAAAACATTACATTAATTTAAAAAAACAAACAAACATACATATAAAAAACCTAATCGTCGTTTATGTTACATTGGTACAAATGTTCCGCAACATCTTCTCGAAGATTGAAACACGTTTCACTGTTATGAATTTCAACAACTTGCTCTAAAAACGCGTTCGTTTCGGGTACGAACTCCTCAATTGGAACGACAACGTCGTTCGGATCATACGTGGAAATCGCTCGACCTTCATCTTCAATAATCATATTATGCATTATGATACATGTTAGGACCATTCGTTTAATTCTTTCTTTATCCCAGAGTCGTGTAGCATATTTCACTACATGCAATGTCTGCTTAAGGACTCCAAATACCCTCTCGAAATCCTTTCTCGCCGATTCCTGTTTTTTTGTAAACAACTTTGCCTTTTCACTTCGAGGAACCGAGTATGCCTTCATCAATGTAGAATAATCTGGGTATATCCCATCACCAAGGTAGTAACCGTATTTGTACGTGTGCCCGTTCACCGTGAACGTCATATCAGGTGCTTTGCCGGTCCAAATATCGTTGAAAAGTGGAGACTGACCAAGAACATTAAGGTCGTTGTTAGACCCCGCTACTCCAAAAAAGGCATGACATATCCACAAATCTTGAGATGCAACAGCTTCTAGGATGATAGTTGGTTCACCTATATCTCCTCGAGTGAACTGACCACGCCATGCATTTTGACATTTTTCCCAAGCCACATGCGTACAATCTAGACTGCCAAGCATACCCGGAAATCCATGCCTCTCTTCATGAGCCGAATATAATCTCTCAATATCACGTTGAGTAGGTTTGCGCAAATATTCTTCGTGAAAAACCTCATAAACACATGTAGAAAATCAATCTACACATTCAACTGCGGTCCTCTCGGATACTTTCAAGTATTCGTCAGATGCATCAAATGTTATACCGTATCTCAAATACCTAAGAGCAGCCGCACATTTTCGTATACTACTAAAACCCATTCTTCCTCTAGCGTCGGGTTTTTGTTTGAAAAAATCATAACGAGATTCTAAAGCATTACTAATACGTAAAAATATAGCCTTATTCAGATGGAAACGACGTTCGAACGAGTCGTCATTATAAAGATAATTATCGGCAAAATAATCACGTACCAATAAGTCGTGTGCGGCTTGGCGATCACGATTGACGACCGCCCTTGTACGAGCATCATTCGCACTTTCTTCGTCGTGAATGTGTTGCACAACATTGAAGAATGTCTCGACGAATTCTACGTCGTCATCCGAGTCAAAAGTTTTTAAAAATTCCATATGTTTTGTGGAATCTATGTATATGTGTTTTGTGGTTTTAGAGAATGAAGGTTAGAATGAGGTGTAAGTTTTGGTGAAAATAGAAGGTTTATTTATGTTATTGAATTGAGTTTGAAAAAAAAATAGGCAAAATAGTCGTTCAACGGCCAAAAAAACCAACCACCAATCACCTTCTTCGTTTGAATTCGTCGTCGGGAACACGAATGATCACGACCACGCTCGACCACAGAATGTCGGGGTGGTGTGCACGAGCTTTTCTCGTGGCCAACTAGACCACGAATCGATTCGTGGTATGTATACCACAAGGCCTTAGTTCCTTGCTAAGCTTGGGGTGCATTTGTTGTTTCCATATATATATATATATATATAGATATATATATATATATATATATATATATATCTATATATATATATCAATCATCTCTAATAAATGAATGTTTTTTTGTCACTTGCCAAATTCTCAAGAGTTTTGTCACTTGTAATTTTGTGAGAGATTTAGAACTATTATTTTCCACTTGTCATTTTTTGGGAATTTCCATTTTTTAAAAATAAAATTCTATAAAATTCTAATGAGTTTTATAAGGAAAGAGAATCATTCTATTAATTTGATAATAAAGTTTCATAAATATTCCAAAGAATATTTGATTTCTTTTATAAATGTTCCAAAAGATTACATTATGTTATGTAAAAATATTATTTTATAAAATATTTAATGTTTAATTATTGATATTAAATTTTTATTTTTAATAAACTCGTGTAGTACACGGGTCTCAAACATAGTATATATATATATATATATATATATATATATATATATATATATATATATATATTTCAAATGTATGTAATGTGTTAGTATAAATTCAAATATTTAGTAGTTGATATTAAAGGATGATGCTACATATGGTTTGGTCACTGTGGAATGAAACCAAACGCCATAGCCAGGTAACAATTAACAATTACACAGGTCGACGACCAACCATGGTTTCGTGGGGATTTTCTAAAATAGTTTACATGGTTAAGTTAGTAACTACTTAGAGAGAGCATGTGATTATGATCGGTATGAGTATTTGAGCGAATATTATGTCTGGAGGGGTGCTTGATTTTGGGTTTTAACCTTTTATTTCTACCGACCATGGTGGATGTAATAAATGTGACGCATTTTCGGTTGTACAACACATCATAATGTATTTGATTTTTTCACAATGTAGTCCTTGTTCCATGGACATCGTCATCTCTTGTTGCCACATGTCTCACTCGCTTGACACGTGTCTTCTCCTCTCAGCATGTCTGTGCATGTGTCCAACACTGAACACCTTATCGTGTCCTGACAAACCACACTTTGCGTAGCGACCAGTTTTTGACTTTCGTTGACTACGAATTAACCCGACCATCGTGTTACGTAATATATTAAGTCACACAGCGAGTTTCTAAAATAACAATCTACTTTTAATTTGCCATTTCCTCCTTCAACTCCACAACCTAACACCAACAAACATTATATAATCAACTTAAAGTAAACTACATGCTTTATTTCCCTTACTTGTCTTATAAACAAGTTACATCCCTCAGAATAATACATGTTATGAAAAACGGGTATTACAAGACGTAGTAGGCATAATATGATTGGATGATTGTTTCTTAAAGGTCCAAGTTAAAGGTGATCTTTTTACTTTTATTGGAAGATATACCAACCAATCATGTGTATGAATAACATGGATTGTAGTAGAATTTGATGGTAGAAGGGCCCTAGTTTTTGTTATAGACAAACAAAAGGTAATCATAATTCCTTTGTTTATTTTGGTTTATGTACGTATCAAACAAGTGAATCAATTGTGTGTGTTGTGTGTGTATGCCTTGTAAAGTTTTTTAGAATTTATGAAATAAATCCTACCTCATGTTGAACATAGGAAATATGCAAGACACATTTATTCAAACTTCGTGAATACATATCCTAGATTAGAGTTTAAAAAAATATTGTTTTGGGTTGCATGTAATAAGTATTTTGGAAAGGGATTTCTTGTTTAAGATGTATAAGATAGAAAAATAAGTCAAAATGCCTATGATTACCACATGACAAAGAACCTAAGATCGTGGTGTAGGACATTCATTCAACAAGGAAATTCATATGAACATGTTGAAAATGGCATTTCTGAGTGTTTTGCCATAATAATTTATTCTTGAAAAAAAATCTTACCATGCATGGACAAATAAGAAGTTACATGGTGAACAAGTTTTAGCGTATGACATATATACAACATAAATATCTAAAAGTTTTACATGAATTATAAAGAACATGATGGAATTTGGAAGGAAATTATGCATGTCTATATAGGTTATAAGTTCAATTAATTGCAACTATATCATTAAATTTACTTTTGGTATGGTTGATTACAAATTAAGGTAATGGTAATAGGGGATGTTTTTGAAACCATGTATGGTTATTCAACTTTAAAATGGAACTTGGATGATCGTTATTACACTTGTATAATTTGGAAATTGCTAGCTATACGGTGTGTTCTTGCATAAGCTTCCCTTAATACATC